GATCCCACATGTTGAGAATGCACACGCTGATGCATTATCCAGACTTGCCAATATCAAGGACTCAGAATTGCTAACCATGATTCCAATTAAGCACCTCCAGAGACCTTCAATCGAGGTCCCAGAAGCAATGTGGGTAGAGAAAATTCCCACATGGATGAAACTATTCTCGGTTATCTCAAAGACCAATTCTCTATAACAATAAAGAAGAGGCCTACAAACTGAGACAAAGGTCGACTCACTTCGTATTTCTTGATAACGTACTTTACAAGAGGGGCTTCTCATCGTCCTTCTTCGATGTGTGGGTAGAAAGAAAGCCACATACATACTCAGGGAAGTTCACGAAGGTATTTGTGGCAACCACTCGAAGGCCTAGCATTAGCATAAAAAATATTGAGACAGGGATACTACTGGCCCAACTTGAAAAAGGATGCCCTTCAATTTGTACGTAGATGTGACAAGTGCTAACATTTCTCTCCTATTCGAAGAAAGCCCTCACAAGAGCTAATTGTAATATCCAGTCCCTTTCCTTTTTCTAAGTGGGGAGTGGACCTCATAAGTCCTCTGCTAAAAGGTAGAGAAGGTGCAAATTTTGCAGTTGTGGCGATAGACTACTTCACCAAGTGGGTCGAAGACAGACCCATGGCCAAAATCATAGAAGCAAACACTTCCAAGTTATTGTGGAAGAATATCATATGTCGGTTCGGAATTCCTTGTTCGATCGTCTTTGATAATGGAAGGCAGTTTGACAACAAGAAAGTCAGAGACCTTTGTGATGAGCTTGGGATCAAGAAACACTTCTCCAAACCTCATCACCCCTAGCCAATGGCCAAATGGAGGCTGTAAATAAAATGATCAAGCATTTCTTAAAGAGGAAGCTAGACGTATCCAAAGGGGCATGGGTTGATGAACTATCACAAGTGCCTTGAGGGATCCAAACCACCATCATAACCCCCACAAAAGAAACCCCATTCTCGATGACTTATGGTACTAAGGCTGTGAGCCCAGTTGAAGTCGGTCTACCATCACTTCATCTCCTACACTTCAGTGAGATCACTAATGAGAGAGGTGTGACCTTGATTTTGTAGAAGAAAAGAGGGATGAATTCCAATTAAGGCTAGCAGATTACCAAAGGAAGATGACCAAGTATTACAATTCAAAGGTGAAGAAGAGGTCCTTCCGAATAAATGACTTGGTCCTTCGGAGAGTTTTCTTATCCTCCAAAGAACCAGGAGTAGGCACCTTAGATCCGAACTGCGAAGCCCCTATAGAATCAAGTAAGGAATCCAACCCGATACATACTGGATTGAGGACTTAGCTAGGAAAATACAACCCCGTCCATGGAACATCAAACACCTTATAATCTATTATCAATGAATGTATTGTTGGACGATCTTCCCCAGCTTTTGTATTGTACTACTCCAAATTTTTTGCTCATTTAATTTTTAGAATAGCAATTTAACTTTTCAAAATTTAGTATGACCAAAAAATTATTTATGGTTGCCAAATTTTGCATTGGCTGATTTATTAAAAGTTTTTCCAGATAATTTGTTAATTAGGGGTTTGGGATAAATGTCCATTTTACACCTAATTACTAAAGTTAAACATTGTTTCTCCAACCTGGCTGAAAATTGATGAAACATATATGCATGAGGTGTTTTAAATTTAAGCATGAGGTGACTAACTAATGCATGAGGTGTTTTAAATTTAAGCATGAGGTGACTAACTAATGCATGAGGTGTTTTAAATTTAAGCATGAGATGACTAACTAATGCATGAGGTGTTTTGAATTTAAGAAAATGAAACCATGCAGCCTACACATGTTGAATTTTTTGAAGAGTCACCCAAAATTTATCATTTTTCTCACCTATAAATAGATGTGTTGCTGCCCTTTATTTCCCTTGCATGAAAAACAACTTATCACTTGTTTAAAGAAGGGCAGAAAACGTGAGGGAAGAAGAGGACTAGCCTAGCATTTCTCAATTCATTTTCAACCAAGATTTCTTCAAATTTTATTGTAAGATACTTTCTATGCTTAAGTGGTATGATTTCATGGTAATATTTATGCTTAAGCTATGCATGCAAAATCATAATATGAATGTGGTGGACAAGTCCACAAAGTTAGATATCTATTTATGCCTTAGGACAAGTCCGAAGGGCACCGGCAAGCCGAAATGTGAAAGTATGTGTTTGATTGCATTCTTTTGTGTAGTATTAACATGTTAAAATCCAAGCATGATATCTTACTTAGTATTCTTTATACTCATAGTGTTCTATACTAAATTCTCAGATTCATAATTGCGGAGTTGGTGGAAGTCAGTTGGCATAATCGATGATGGGTTAGGAACAAAGTTGTTTTGCATCGAAATTTTGTTTTTGCACGTTTTGTTCGACTGCTTTCCATATGTTTTCTTATGGTATTGTATAAAAACATGTATGAGACATGATGTAATATGGTACCGGAAGTAAATTATGTAATTCTATCTTCTATGTTGTGTTAAGAGACCTTTTTTTTTTAAAACTTCTCCTTGCAAGTGACAAAAGGCAGAAACGGGACAGTTTTTGGGTCAACTTCAACACGTTATTTTTGACTCCATAAACGTCCATTTGTGACTCTGAAAATATTAATGCGTTCCTCATTGAGTTGTCTTAATATGGGCACAAGAATCACTCAATTTGGACATCAGTAGCCT